TGTGTTGGGTGGGGGTGGGGTGAAACAAATCACACATTCAGTACGCTACATAATATTGCACCCAGTGTTTTGCCACAGGTATAGAGAGAGGCACTCTTTCGTGCCAATTGATTTGTTAATATGCTAATGCAGCGTGATTAGCGAAGCAAGAAACTGAGCGCGTCTTTGCTCAGTGAGGTGTTGATTGAAAGAAATCAACGACCGGGGTGGCAGATGAGAAGGAAATGCACATTTTGGAAACCAAAACTTTGAACTCTTTATTGTAATTACAGGCCAAAGTAGATACTTAAAGGATAGGTTCAGATTTTCCTTAATACATACACCCACATGTCATATCTAAATTGAAAGAGTATTCTCTATACAGGCCACAAAGGATACCACTATATCAAGGGCATGGAATTAGGAAGGAGATGGACACGTCTGAATACTATGGAATCGTCCCTAGCAGTAAAAAAAAAAGATTTAAATATAACCGCTGTTGTGTGTCAGTGTCTTGTCAGTGTATTTGGTACAAACGGTTAACAGCCAGCCGCAAATGAGCAAATAACATAGACCAAAGACGCAACTGTAATCTACAAGTAATTTGACTTGTAAAAGGTCTGGGCTGCAGTGTGGCGCCTTTCCTCTGGCCGGTAGCTCTGTGTCACTGCTGTGTCTGCGTCCCTCTCGCTTGGAAACACCTTTGCTCTGTTTGAGAGTGTCTCACTGCTCCAGATGCTTCCCACTCAAGTGACTGTGAGCTGCACTTTATCTGAGGTGCTGAAGTTCACATGGCTGTGGATTTGTGGCAAGATTTCTGCCTGCTCAGAAGTGTTTTCAGTTAGTTTTGGTTTTCAAACTCCGACACTGAGCACTGAGCTTGTCTCATCCTGTCTCATCCTGTACAGTTCCAAACGAAAAAACAAAAATTATTATAACCCATGATAACCTTCAATGACAATGTTACTTTTAGAGCACTACTTCTTTACTTATTGGCACTCAACGTTGGCATGTGGGGAGTGGAATCACCCAATATGGATGTAATTACTTTCTGACCATGTTCTCAGATCAGCCTGCGATCAGCTTGATTACTACTGAGAGAATTGATGCCCAAAACTATGAAAATAAGACCCAACCTGTAAATAATAATTACAACAGTTTAGGTTTCTTTCCTTTCAGATTGTGTAGCAGTAAAACAGTGAGGTATACTTCCTTCAAAGCTCAGATTTAACACATTTGTGTCTCTTGAAAACGGTTTCAGCTTCCAGGCTCACAAGCTGAATGCATCGGCACCATGAGCAAACATGGCACATTGCACACGCCACATTATGTGTTAATATGAAATGCAAGAGTATGTGAAGTCTTACAGTCATAAAAAAACATTTAGCTTTATTGCAACATACATCAGAGTATGGCAGCAGCTGCCCCTAAAGTCACTATTCCAATCATGTAGCTTTAACATCAATGAAATACCCATTACTATCAATGAACCCCACAGCTATGACTGTTAGATTAGGTTTGAGCCGAAATGTATTTACCTCAATGTATTGTGTAAATTATATACTGTTAAATAAAGACCAGAAATGGCCCAAATACCCTTAAACTGCACATCCAACAGACGAGTGTTGTAGTGAAGTTCTTCGGGCTGAATTTGCTTCTTGAAGACTCATGAAAAAAGTCCTCTTACCTTGGCTCTGAGTATATTGTGAACGCGTTTGTAGCTGAAATTTTAGCGGGCTGAGTCTACTTCATTGATTTCAGGAGCCGGACGGGGTAGGGGTGGCTGAAAATGCAGCGGAGCTCTTGTAGAACGAGTTACCTTGGGCTGAAAATCTGAACAAACATTGTTAAGTGCTGATGGTGGGCATGCTGGCAAGTAGATTTGCCCAGGGAGGGAGGTCTCCTCAGTGCACTGGCTGTTCTGCAGCTTTTCAGTTGCAGTTGTCTTCCCCCTCAGTGGTGCTGCACCGGAAAGTCAGGAATTTCCGACTGTTACAGCCAACATCACGTCTGCTGTCTATATGTTAGTGGAGCAGTTGACTGTAAAACACCGTCCTATTCCAATTAAGGAGCATAACCAGTGCTGTTTACTGTTGAGCTGCCACCTACACTTATGTCATTTGTAGCCCTGCTTATAAAGTCAAATTTTTATGAATTACATCCGACCACTCACTGTGGAAACCTTTTGATTTATCTCCTCTCCCTGCATTTCATGAAAATTATGCATCAAAATAACTGACTGCTTTACATGGTAACGCTGTGAAATAAAACAATTGTTAGCTTGTGCAGCGGTGAAGGGAAATGCTGAATCTTCCTGTAGCACTCTTCAACCTTACACGTATCTGTTGACTAAAACACTGCACACATCATAAATATACTGCATAATGCTGAGTCAGGAGAACTGTAACTAATGCTTGGGCATCAAGGTTTCTTGTCACACTTTGGTTCTAAATAACCACGCAGGAACACTGAGACTGGTAAAAGAGTCTGAATCAGTTTGGTCTTCTGTAACTCATAAAGCAGGGTCACAAGCAGATCAATCACCTGCATTACCTCAACCAAAGCAAAGAAAATACATTCTGCAACTACTGAAGCTGAATATTTGATTTCCCTGAGCCCCAAACCTATAGAGTTCATTAAGTCCCACACTATTCCCAGGAATACGTCTGCATCAAACTCATTAACCCCCCTCATAGGGCATCAGATATGGACCAAACAAAGGATGCAAGAGATGACAGTGTGTCCTCCGGGGGAAACACTCCACAACCACCAATACGTCAGCCTTGCATTACATGTCTGATGGATTTATCAAGCCATCAATAAGATATTGACTGGAATAACACTCAAGGTCATCCTGTATAAATCTCCAGTAGCCCTGCTTAACATGGTACAGTAAGAGGTTAATGTCACTGGTCTTTCTTGTTCCTCTAAGATGCTATGACTACAGATTGCACTGCCTCTTGAAGTCAAAACGACCATAATAAAGCTAAAGGGGGGGTTTTATCAAGAGATACAAATGTAGCCACAAATAGAATTTTATTTGAGATTTGTGTGCTCAAGGTCTATGACAAGATAATTAAAATAAATTCCAGTATATTGCACAGTAGTGCCTTACCTCTTCAGCAGTCAATTCTAATGGATGTTTGCTCTAATTAGTTCGTCTATTCTTTACTAATGCAACCTCATTATTTATGTCAGCTACAGCTGTAAGTTGGTGTGTGTTCTTTCTATTCTTTGGTCGCTCACTGATTTCAATACATGTCGAGGATTAGATTTAACAGCCCTTTAATAATAACAAGAACCTTTTTTTGCCTTAGAGATAAAAGTCAGTGAGATAATAAATACTCACATTTGCACATCAAATATTCCACACAAAGTGATTAAATTATTTAAATGAATACTATCATTTAAAACATGTTTTTATATGGCAGTGAGGGTAAACGTAAACTTAAAAAAAAAAGAACACTCATTCATTCAGTATTCAGTATAAGCTTCTTTTTTTTTTTTTTTAGATAGAAAGGAGGTTATGTGTGCATTGTAGTTCCTTTAAAATGCTTCTCCAGGTGTTTCTGCCTCTGGATCTGTAGAGTCTGGATCTGTGGTTGCAGGTCACCTACCCCATGTTCCTGCTTGACACACGCTGCTACAATTAATATTATTATTAGTCCTATTATTATAATCATTACTATCTCTATCATTATGAGGACCACCATTACTATTATTTTACATCTCTATGTGGAACTTTCTACTGTGCCCCCCCCCCAGTTGAGGTAGATTTATTGCGAATGCTAATTTGATGCCTAATGTCAGTTACACAACAATATCTATCAAAAGATTGCTAACATTAACCAATATTAGCCATTATAGGTTACTGGTCACACCAAGGAAGGCTGTAGCAGCAAAACCAATGAAGAGTGTACTGAACTGAGTAAGGAGGTGTTTCATTGTTTACGAATTGAACTTTTTAATGGTAACAAAATACTCAAGACCACATGTTCAGGTTCTTAAAGTATTCTTGTTGTGATGGAGGGCTTTGAGGCTCTGAGAAGCAAACAGTGTGCACTACAGTGCAAAGAATATACCAGTGCAATGTTAATCTACACTGTGTGCCCTCACTCTGCTGGTGCTGATGTTATGTGTACACACATTAGTGCTGAGATGTGCTCTCTGCGTGTTTCTCTCACAGGGGATTTCATGTAACCACCCCTCCCTCCCTCACCCCACTGTTATCAGTAGACTGCTGTGGAAATATCATTGTATCTACAGCAGCACTCTTCTTATCATGAATGTGCTGCAAACTATAAAGGTTCATTTGGTCACTGGGTTTAAGGTCAAAGCTGGTGCGTATATCACTCAAACCCGGTGCTGGGGAACACATCCCTGTAGCTGTGTGCTGCTGTGTGGGAGGCCGCGGCGATGAGAAGCTGATGGTAAATCGATAGTGATGGATCAAAGTGCCGCATGGCTGGAGCCCTGCGGTGTCAGGGTGCGGGGAACAACGGTGACTTTTTACACCTCCTCCCGTCTTCTCATTATCTTCTTCTCCTCCTTTCCTCCTACCTAGCCCACGATTCTCTCTTTTCATCTTTAAATTCCAACTCCTCTCTGTCTTCCCCCACACTGTGTGTGTGTGTGTATGTCTGTCTGAATGTGTGTGCGTGAGAGAGAGAGAGAGAGGTGACTTGATGCGTTGTGTCATGGTGTCAGGTGGCATCAGCCAGTAGTTGATGGGAAGATAAAATGTATCACTATCGATATCCGATCACTAAAATTGTTTCCAGCAGCCTTCTGCACTGCGTGTGTCTACAAATCTGTTGCTGTAACATGTGGGCAACATTTGACTCATAAAAGAGATGTTATTCATAAAATGAAGAAATTGGACTGCTTTATTGTCTAATGTTTGAGTTCAACTGGTGTTATGCATGTACAATTCCTGGTTGTTTAATGTGATTGTATTTTTCTTTTATATTACCATGCAAGTAGCACAATCTAATAAATAACCACTTGGTTCTGTTTTCTAGGAGAAAAACATTGGCCGGTCCGCTCCCAGAGTCACCATGGTAGGGATGGATGTTCTTTCTTTAAGGGTCAAAGTTGCCTCTAACCACTTCTTTAGGATTTCTGTATTTGTCGTATAAACTTGATAATGATTAATAGTGGTAATATGAAGTAACATCTGATCAGTGTTTGGAGGCAGCTTATACCTGGAGTGTTAATTGTAGTGCAGTGCCTTCCCATTGGCCTCTCTCTATCTATATGCCTAACCTGTGGATTTTCCCCTTGGCATTTAGCTCTCCTGTCTGTGTGATGACTACATGTGTTCAGTCTGGTCTATGTGTAATGGTTCTAGGGGTCTAACGGTACACAAAATTCAGTTTGGTTAAAAAAATGTCCATTAAGACAAGCGCAGCAGGTTTATGAGTTAGGTGAGACGGTCAATACCACTCTTGTGTGTTAAGTATAACCTGGAACCAGGAGACAATTAGCTTAGCTCAGCATTAAGACTGAAAGCGGAAACACCAAGCTTTGGCCTGTCTAAGGTTGAAACTGAAACTGAGAACTGAAGTTCACTAATTATACATTGTACCTCTGTTTGTTTAATCTGTACACAAAGCAAAAATGTACAAATAACATAACGAGGAGTTACATTTAGTTACAATGAAGTAACCAAGCAAGTGCTAGGTGATGAACTGTCAAGAAATCATTACATTACATAACTCCTTCTATTTTTACACTCTTAGGTAGCACTGTGCTACTTTACAGGCACAACAAACTGACTGAAATGCACATGGTGAGGAATATTATGATGGGGCTGAAGCCCTGTAACAAATAACATGGTCTAGCTGATGGACAACAACTGTCTCACTGCCAAACCCCGATGTGGGTCTCTCGCTATTTGGAATTTATGCAGTGGATGTACTAAAACGCAGAGCAAATTAGACAGTATTAAGATGATAGGGGATGAATACGTGTGCCGTTACACCCCATATCTTTTTTTTGTTCAAATTACTGGTGATGTGGGCTTGCTTCCAAAGAAACATTGTAAAGAGGAGATTTTGATTGCACTCCATTTTTTGTTTTCAACCAAGAAGTCCATTCTATGAGTAGAGTATGAGGGCCTAATTAATGAAAAACTAACCAAACTAGGGCACACTGTATGTAAATAAGAATGTTCTGTACCTCTTGATGTTTGTTGCAGCTGGCCCACATTGTTTGTTTTTTCCCATTGTGTTGTGCCTTAAAACCCAACCGGTCCCATTTCACTCTGTTCTAATTCCTGCCTTTGAAATGTATGTTTTGAACTGTTTAACTGAAGCTTTTTCTATGTGTCGTCCACTTTACTGAAATGAATGTCCTAACCTCTATGGTGTGCGTGGTCTTCGACTCTGTCCGTCTCAGTGGAGAGGAGGGCTGGTCTATAAAGGCATGGATAAAGGCAGTTTTGATGATGTTACTTCTTTTATTTTAAGAAGACATCAGATAAATCTGTGCTTATCCTTGCTTAATATACGGACCCTCCTCTTCCTCCTCTACCTCTTCC